AACGCATAAGCGTTAATTCCAAACACAGTCTATATCTCTGACATAAATACGTCTCGATTCGTTTTTTCTATTGTCGAGTATTCGTACCGAATGATACTCGAACAATAGAGACAAAAGATCAGAATGTATTTATATCAGAGATATATCATTATAACATAGAGAAATAATTATAACATATTAATTTAATATTTGCATAGATACTTTCTAAATTAAATTTACACTGTATTGAATTAAAAAATTTTTTTTCAATTAGATTCAATTGGATTGAAAAACTGTATTTCCTATTCAAAATTTTCAATTGAGTAGTATTATATTTACAATGCACAGAAAAAGCAGATATTATTTTTAGATCGAAAGGCATAGTGCTTCATGCAATTCCTATAAATGAATAAAAATGCATTCGGATCGAATAGGATTTCTTTTACCGTTTTAAATAATACCTATATTTTAAGCAATATTATTAAATTTGTGATTTTTTATTATATAAATACTTTATGAATAAGTAAGTATACTAGAGTGGTTTTCATTTTTGAAATTTAACCGGGACACGTCATAAAGTGGTTCAATATTTCAAAAAAAAAATAACATCAGATTTTTTTCAGATTTTTGGAACAATTTTAACCCGTGCCACCGGGGCACGAGTAGGCGAAAAAACATTTTTGCAGATAAAATTCAGCCGACGCTCTAATTCTTAATTTCCAATTTCAGAGTTTTTTTTTAATTTGCTCGAAATTAAATGATATACAAGCCCATTTTGCATAAATTTTGATTATAATGCAAAGTAAAAATTGTCGGTCCAATGAAGTGAGCAGAAAAAATCTAGACAAATATTTGAAGTAAGTCTTAAAGGTACCTGGAATGTAAGATTCTGATAACAAAAATTGTCACTGTTTAAACTAATGCCTGTTCTATAATAGGATCGCAAGTTGAATAACCGTAATAACCGTAAGAAATTGGCCAATCACAGTTGAATATGACAAAAATAATCAAATACGATTTAATTTCTTATGGCTTGCGACCCTATTGTAGAACAAGTATTCTTTTGCGGGTTAAAAAAGAGTATATATTTATGATTCATTTTTACTTTATTTATGATTTCATTTTTTCAGAAATTATGTGGGTAATTGATTTAAAACTTTATACACATTATAATTAATACGCATTTTATTAAGACTCAGGAATTTTTCCAAGTTAAAATAATGAAAATTGTAATAGTTATAACAGTACACACGCGAGCATGCATCGTCTCATAGCTCCCATAAAATTATTCCATAAAATAACACTCAGTTATCGGAAACAAAATATAATAAATAAGATTATTAATCTATAGATGTTTGATTGTCGTCAAAATCAAAGTTATAAAAAACGAACTATTTTTTAAATAATTATAAAGTATATAAGAGTAGCACTTAAAAAATCGCTAAACATTTTGAAAGTTTTATGTTAGAAATAAGCAGATTAATATTTTTCAATTTGGTCGGTGCTTTAAACGATACAGAAAGGTATTTTAAATATGTAATTAAAAGATAAAGTCGATCCGTTCATTAGTTTAAAATCAGGATCTAGTTTAAAGAACATAGTTTTGAGAAAAAAGACATAATTTCGCGTTAAAAATTTTAATACATTTTAATCATATATTTCTAGTACGTACGAGTAAGTTTCAATCTAATCAGCGATTCCAAGCCCATATTTCTTTTGTAAGTTCAAAAAACTCGTTTCGGCCTCTTTCATCTCTCTCGCAGCTGTTCGAACCTCCTGGGGTGCGTTCTGGGGTCCAAAACTTGACTCTGTCAACTCCGAGTATCTTTTATCTTTATATAACATTCGATGACCGACAAGGATATAAAATAATACTTGAATTGACAGAGTTGAATTTTGGAACGTAATCCTGAACGCCTGTGCCGTTTCGACGTTTTACGTAATCCATCTTTTATCGCAAAATTCTATTTTCATCCAGGATATATTGTACATAATTGCAGAAGTGATGAACATCCTTCATTAAATAAATACACAGTTAAAAAAGCTAAAGAAAGATAAATATTTCAAAATCCGAAGCCACAGTAAAGATGCTTCGATGCCAAGCGCCAAATCGTTGCATTGGAACTCTCATTATTATTTTGACCTTATAATCCCTCCTCCCCCACATAGACACATACACACACGACTATATAAAATGTTAATGCGTGTTACAATTCAGTATTCAAAAACCTGTAGCTACCTGATCTTCAAGACCGTTACAACAGTTATTGTATTGAAACTTGGGGAGAACCAGTGAGAGTTCTGACCAAATAGGAAGCTGTAACGTCCGTATTTTTCCAAATTGTTCGATAAAAATTCAAGAAAAGATTCTTATAAATATGTATTTCCATAAAATGTAAAAAAAATTAATTTTTTGACCTTCCAAAGAATATTGCCCCCTTATTCTTTATTTTCCATGAAATAAAGGATATGGTTTTTTTATGCTTTATGAATTACCGCAAATAAAAAATGTAAAAACTTTAAACTTTCTTTAAAAATTCATGCAAAAGTCTGTGCTCCTTAACTAAATGGAATAAAGCAGATAATAAAGATATAAAAAAATTAGATATAAGAAAAAAAATAAAATAAAGTAAATTGATTAAAATAAATTAACATAAAAATATATAAATTGATTACAAATATATAAATAAACTAACACAAAAATATATAAATTGAACACCAAAGTAACATGACACAAAAAGAAAGATATAATATACACTATATACATAAAAAAAACATGATAGTGCAATTATGTTTTATATCATTATTCTTTGTTTATCTATTTAGTATTTATATTATTTATGCAGAATTTTATTAATAAACTCGGATGAGTGAAGAGATTTACTAAATTAAATTGATTTTTGTCTCGAATGTCGCGGAAGATTCAATGTGTCAGGGATCGTTCGAATGGAAAATATTATCGCTATTATTTGTTATTCATAATCGATAATGCACATTGTTTAATTATCATCAGGTCAGGGATTAGGTCGCGCACGTGTGCTTTGCTGCGTTATTGCATTCGTCGATGCCCAACACGCATTAAAATTTTGTTTCCTTGAAAATAAATCCTGCGATGATCAATGATCAGAAAATTAGCCCAAAATATTATAAATCAATATAGAGCCGCTATTAGAAATTTACTATTAATAAGAAATTTGTTCCAAAATTATATTCGACCATACTTCATATATGTAATATATGAAAGCAATGTT